AGAGAGAGAGAGAGAAAAGAAGAAACGTGCAAACCTCAATCAATCGAGATTCATTTGGAAAAGACGAAATCAATGTCGTTAAATTCCCTTTTTGATTTCAAGCTTTTTCAAAGAAGAAAATCCCCGTAGAACATCCTGAGGATCGAAAATCGATAGGGGCCAATAGCAAAACACCAACGTTCGTACGTTTTGACCTCTAAACAATTATTCTTAAATAGTTTTCTCTCTTATTTAAATACTTATTAGTAAGACGATAGTGATAATCACCCGTTCTTCCATCTATCCTCGAGACCGTGAAAACAAACCAAACGATGATCATGTTGCTCGCACAACGTGCTCGTGTTTGATTTTGTTTCATATAAATCACAATTTTCTTCATACGTATGAACCAATGAAAATTGCAAATTTATCCAGAAAAATATCCTATTTTAATCGTCCAAAAATATCAGTTAATTATCATTGATATTTTATTATTACCTTTCCCCTTTTTTTTAATAATAAAAAAAGCATTATCAAAAACTTTAACTACGAGTTTATTAATCAAAAAGTCCATTATTATCCATTCCATTATTTTTTTTTTTTTTTTTTTGATCATGCAAGTTTTGGATATTGTGTTAAAAAATAACGACACAATTATTATCTAATCTTTGATAGTTTAACTCTCTTATAAACAAGGAAGTGTGCAAAACTTCGTATGCGCCACGGTTTATGCAAATAATAATGACTCGTTACTTATCTAATCGTTATATATCTTAATTTTTCTTCGAATTCTCTCTTTCTGTTTGAATGAAAAAGAGATTTACTTTTTTCCCTTCTATTATCTATCGTGTATCATTCGTATTTATTTTGTATAATGTTTTGTTTGAATTTTTAATTTAAAATTTTTAATTACAACTGTACCAGTATTTTATTAATGATTAATAAAATGGTAATTTTAATATCAATTTGTGATCAAACTATTGAAAATTTAAATTTAACCTTAAAAGGATTCGCATAAAAAAAGAGATTGCATGAAAAATTGCATATTCAATGAAAATGAAAGTAAGAAGAGAAGCTGTGAAAAAAAATTTACTTACAAAAAAGTGTGGCATGAAATTTCTCTCATATTGGATTTTAATTGGAAGATAATTTTGCACATTTGAAAAAAAAGTAATAAATCTGATCTGATTTCAATCACGAATTTTCCATCGATAAGTATTTCTTTTTTTTAATCGTTCGAGTACACAAGAAATAAAAAGATCATATTCGAATAGTACGTAAACATCGACTGAGGGCTAGTAATGCTATTAAGAAAGTCGAGGCTGATCCTCTTCTGTCAGATGAATAACTAAGATGCGAGGGTTTAACTAGAAGAGAACATATTGCAAAATATGAGCGCAGACGCAGACATTCGATTTACACAGTGCGCTAATGCATATTGCGATAATTAAATATTTTAAGATGCGAAAATAACGACTTGTAATTGTTTACACCGAAATATTATGGTCGTTTATATATATATATATATTAAAAGGAAAAATGTATTTGATGGATTTTTTAACTTAATATTTATTAAATAATTTTAGAGATAGTAGAAATTTTGTACAATCCAATTTTAATTGTATTTTCACTTCTGATTAGATTTTTGATATAACATTATATGTGATTCGTGATAAAAATTTGTCTTTTTCAAAAAGATGTTTAATTTTAATAAAGAAAAAAAGGAATAACTTTGACACATCCACATTCATATGAGTATAAATTTGTTTAATAACGTTTAATATCCAAAACATTTGAATGTTATGCAGGTAAGTTAGTTATATTCTTAATGTTAGACAATATAATTATTTCACTGGATTATTTCATCGTATAATTCTAAATGAAAATGCAAAGTTTAATGTAAATTTTCGCATGAGAACGAAATTATTTATGATCCGAAATCTCTTTCTAGTTATATTATCCTAATACAAAGAACAAAATATAATAGCAATTTATTATTATTATATAAATGCTATTTAGCATTAAAATACCTCTGTTTATTGTATATTCTCCTAATACAAGAAGTAACTTTTGAAGGAAAATTCAGTTCTATAAATTCGCATCTTACTTGTGACCTCTTATAATATTATGCGAGCCTAATATTAATGTAGTTTTGAATCGAGTTTCGTAATTATTTTATTTTGTACAATTGCATGAAAGTATGAATGAAAAAAAAATGATGTAAAGTAAAGAATTGAAACGTGATTAAAATTAGAATGTGCAGTTTTATTTTCATAATAATATCGTTTTATTTTCAAGTATAAAATATATTAGATTGTTCGATTAGATATTTTTTTGATAAGATTATTCGCAATATTCGTCAAAATTAAAAATATTACACAAAAAATTAATAATCTTTTCAACGCTTATATTTTTTTTATTATTTTAATATATATTACACATATTTGATACGAATAATATATGAATAACATAAAAAATAAAAGTGTAAGAAATTTGATTTAACAAAATAGAAGAGAATAAAATAATGATTTAATGATTTGAAAGAGAGAGAGAGAGAGAGAGAGAGAGAGAGAGAGAGAGAGAGAGAA